CAAAAACTGCACCACCCTACACAGTGCTTGGCTAATAGACCTCAAGTCTCTGGCAGTTTACAGGTAGGAAAGCATTGTACCATAGACTCGTTGTTTCTCTAGAAACATTAGGATCTTTCCTCCAGCAGCCTTGAGATAACTATGCAAAGAGGCATGAGCATTGCAGGCTTCACCCAGAGCAACGGGCCAATGTGCATCCGTTCCTACTTTAAATACAGCAGTTCTGCCACTCCTCCTCCCAGGCTGAGCCAAGACTGGTTTAACTGGCAAAACTGGCTGGTTATCTTGTCACAGACAAGCAAGTGTGCCAGGCTTCAGTGTGTAAATGAAGCCAATTTTTAAGAAGCAAAGGGATTATATCTATCCTCTTCCCACCCCCTCTAGCATTTCAAATGGAGGAAGGTTTTACTGACCAGCTTTGGCTTGGTCCATTTTGAATTTCAGGCATGTGTAAAAAGGAGATGGTGGAAAAGCCTAGAAGCAGAATCTCCCCTCTGCTCTAATAGTGAAGCAATGTGTGATTAGGCAAAACTTTCCACTGGATGTCAGCAAGAGCAAGGTCTGGCTATCTAGTTCTCTAAGAACGTAGGCTTCTAAGCTAAACAAGCTGCTGCTTGCACAGATCATCTCCTGCTGCTGTACCACGCGATTAACTGCTGGCCCAAGATTTCACCTCACTTAGTCACAAACAAATTAAGCACCACATGGTTTCACTTTTAGCAAGTCTCTTGTAGGGCACTGGTTGATGCTGTGCCAGCAGGCCAAGCGCCTGGAAGAAAGTGTTATAACCCTGAGCATCTCATAGTTTTTGCCCTTATGGCAAAGGTGTAAGTCCAATTTAAAATCAGTCTCCAAGCAGCTCAATTCTTAGAAAAACACACTAGGGCCCTTCGTATCAAAATAAGCTCTTTATGGCTCTCTCCCACGTGGTCCTGAAGGCATCATGGCCTCTTACGGCAGGCTGGGTCAAGAGGGGCTGAGAGAGGAAATCCAGGGTTACCAATCACTCTGCTCCCACAATGAAGTGCTGCTCCTCTTACTATTAGCGTTCATTCTTACACGAACCTGAAACCAGACAATTCCAGAGCTAGTGTTAGTCAGGGCCAGTCTTGGTGCCAGTGAGAGGGCTGGGGCCTGGTCTACACACTGATTTTTGTACTAGTATAACTTCCTGGGTGTGACTGTCTGTAAAGGGTCACAAGCTCAGGCAATTTAAAAAGTAAAGTCCAAACACCCTCAGATTGCTTGTAAAGGGGTAACTTTTGACCAGCACAGCTGATCAAGTCCCAGATTTCAGGGAAGATCCTAGGCATTTATGGGTAGAACCCTTACACAGTCAGTCTGGGAATGAATTTAAATCCAAACTTATAATAATATCAAATGCTAAACTATTAAACCATAGGAAAAAAACCCTCCAAACCACCTAAAACCCTCTAGCTTCAACTAACATTAAGGGCCTTGTTATTTGGTCTTTTATCCACAAAGCATTTAACACTTCTATTCCACTCTCCAGGGGGCTCAGACGTGCAGCACACAGTACAATCGGGGTATCCAAAAGTCACTCTTATCTCACTGCTGTAGAGTCACCAAGCTATGACAGGCCTGATTCTAAACCAAGAACAGCTACATTTTTCTATGTGGCTGCTGATTGCTTACCATGTAGACGGCCAAGCACCCCAACCGCAGAGCAGTGCCAAAGAAAATCTGTGCCTGCAACTGAAGCCTTTGGACGCCACTTTTTAAAAAACTGGAGTCCCGGTGAGGATGGAAGGAAGGGAATTCCAGCTACCTTTCTAAGCCCGGTTCAGTGACAGGTTTTTGCACTATCAATACTATGTAATTTAGCGTGATGGGTCTTACTTTCCATCTTAATTTTTCAACCTTCTTGTTTTAAAAGGGAAAAAACATCCATGGGGCAGGATGGGGCCTGGCACAAATTAGTTACAGTTGTGAACTTTAAGCAACATCACAAGGTAGTGTGGAAATATTCCAGTTTACAGCTCCAGGTTCCAGTACTGTGCTGGTGATAAGAATGTGTCCTTAAAAGACAAAGTGAGCCTATTTCAAAAAACATCACTACAGAGCAGCCCCTGTAACATTTTCACCCCAACATATGGGGGTTTTTTGTTTGTTTTTTTTAGCAAATAACAGAAAAAGTTTTGCCCCTTTATAACAGGAACCAGCTGAAAATTGACTGTCTTGTAGGGCCCGTGTTCTTACGCACATAAGCAACTATATTGGAACTAGGTATATTGTAGGACTTCCTCTACCGTTTAGAGGCAGGGTAACTAATCAGGAATTAAGCTGTATTGTTGATGCACACCAATTCCTGAGTGGACAAATGAGCGGGTTTCTCAGCAAGTTTGATCAAAAGCATTTAATGGAAAACAAAAGGCTTTCAAATGCAAAAGTTGTAAATGGCTGGCAAATTGCATACTAAAACAAAGCACTTCAAAATTGTAATGGGGAATAAAACATTCTACTATCCCAAGGAGCAGTGCTCCACTAACGCCTCTGCACGTTGAAATTAACGCAGCTGTGTGAAAACACAAACCTATACACGGCTGTACGCTGAAATTAACAGCAAACATTATGTTGATACTTATTTCACCAGGCTGGGTTAATTTCCATGACCCACACATTAGCTGGATAACTACAGCTGCTGCAAACATCTTGGTAGGAAATTAAGCCCCATGTCTGCTCTTTATTCACTAGTTATACTTTTTCAGAAGCGAAGGTTTTCATCAAATGCTTTTGTTCAAAGTTGTGGTGCAATTTTACCTTTTCTAAACAGCCCTGATTTGCTGCACTGCAGGAAAAAAAATGGCTTGTAGAATTTTAGGCGCAATTTCCCTCAATGTTCCCTGTACTCATGATTTGGACTAGTTCTGTACTCACCAAACTCACTTGCACTGTTAACTTTTGTATTGAGTTTCACTAAGGATTGAATTCTGACACGGCACCCACAAACCCTAGGATCTGAGGCAGTTTCTGATGTAGATGCTTATGGCCCCTGAACAGCAGTGGCATGAAAAGGAGCTGAGATAATATGTACCCTCACCACTGCCCAAAACTATGTGATCTCTGTGCAGCTGTTTATTATCTTTGGATGCTGCATGAAGGGATCGGATTCAGCCCCCGCACAAACCGCTTTGAAATGAAACTCTGGCTGGTTGCAACCATCTTTTATTAATTACAAGCTGATGGTTTGGGAGTTGGCGTAGAAGTAGATTAACTGTGGCATAAACATAACCGATCCAGTTGGTCTGCACGTGCGGGGTATGTCTGCCGTTCTACTTCTTAGATCTGCTTTACAAGAGGGAAGCAATCTGGCATTTGTACTCTGATTTACCCATTCGGAATGCACAAAAAAGGGGCCATTTAGAGCATGTCACTGTTCCACCTGCTCCCTGCAAGTTAGGGACATGGCTTTTTGAAGTGAGCTTGTAACCCTAACCCTGTGGTAGAACTGGGATTAGAATTCAGCAGCAGGACCATGTCTACCTTACAGACCTGATGTCTAGGGCAGTGTCACTGTAATAGCAAAAGGTGCAGGGGTACAATTTCTAGCAATAACCAGAATCAAGGGCCTTCTCCTTGCTGAGCACTGCCAAACGACCCTCGCTACTTACACGTCTCCAGTCGCTCCTCCAGGAAGGAGATCTGCTCACTCAGGGACTCGATTCTATCCAGCTGCCGCAGGGAGTAGAACAGCTGGCTGATGGGGTCTGTGCTGACGTCATCTGCTGCCGATGGCATGAGGTTATGGAATGGAGCCAACAGTAACTGGAGTTTCTTTTGAGAGAGAGAGGAGCTGTTAGTGTAATAGAGAGGGATGAAAACTATCAGACCTGCCAGCAGCTGATACGGCCGGCTCAGCTATCTCCCGGGCCGGCAGAGCTGATGGTTGGGGTAGTTGACTAGTGCTAACAGGGCTCCTGGTGGAGGGAGTTCTCACAGTATTTGCTGCGAGCGGTGGGCGGCGCAGCGGGGAATGCTGATACCAGAAGCCAAGACTAGATGAGGTGGCGAAATTAAAAATAGAGCCAGCGAAGGGCAAAAATTCCAGCTATGAACAGCTGTGCAATGAGATTCTGGAGCCAAATACTCTGAATTAAAAGTGCAGTGAAAAAAGGCTGAGGTACAAGTGCGTGCATCTCTGTCTGCACTCGCTGACGGGGGCTCACCTGCTCCAGCACTTCCACCCGGCTCCGGAGGGCTTGCATTTCTTCCTTCATTTCACTGGAGGCGCCTGCCATGAGCAAAGCACCACAGGAATTAATAAAATCCCTTAAAGTGAACCGTCATCCTCAAAACCGGGCTGTGCTGGCGGAGCGAGGGCTGCCACCTCTCAGGTGCAAAAAACCCAGGAGCCCCTAAAAGGGCGGCGTTGGCAGTGTGTACTGAGCCCCCTGGCGGATTTCCCAGTCATCCTGGGAAAACCTGGACAGGTGCCACTGGCAACCCGCGAGTCAGCAGCCAGGGCCGGCTCTGGCTTTTTTGCCGCCCCAGGCCGCCCCTCACCCCCAGCGTGGCAGGGGAGGGTGGCCGGAGCGCCGGGGGGAGGGCGGTGAGCCCCGGCCCGGGCTCCGCTCTCCCCAGCGGCCAGAGCGCCGGGGGAGGGCGGAGTGCCCGGCTGGGGCTCCGCTCTCCCTGGCGGCGAGCCCTGGCCGGGGCTCCGCTCTCCCCGGAGGCCAGAACGCCGGGGGGAGGCGGCGAGCTGCGGCCTGGGCTCCGCTCTTCCCGGCGGCCGGGAGGGCGGCCAGAGCGCTGGGTGGGAGGGCAGAGTGCCTGGCCGGGGCTCCGCTCTCCCCGGCGGCCAGAGCGCCGTGGGGAGGGCGGCGAGTCCCGGTCGGGGCTCCGCTCTCCCCGGCGGCTGGAGCCAGAGCGCCGCGCCGCCCCCCTCCAGGTGCCGTCCCAAGCACAAGCTTGGTGGGCTGGTGCCTGGAGCCGGCCCTGG